TTGGATATATGCACTATGGCTTCACGTTTTACTAGTCTTAAAACAATATGATTTCTTAGTTATCTACATTCCTCTCCCCCCCTCCCCCCACGGCTTCCAAATCACTTTTGGAATAAATTCTAAGTTCTTTGGGAGGACCTCTGAGGCACTTCTTGGACAGTCCTGCTTACCTCTTCAGGGGCGCCCTGAGCTGGTGACATTGCCTTTCTTCCGTATGCCTGTGCTATGGCCATTTTACATATGTAGAAGTTATTTGGAGGTGCTGTATTCTCCATGCCATTGTGAAAAGTCTTGCCTTGGCCGGTAGAGCTGCCTTAGTCTACTATCTGGTCTACTTTGGTTTATCTAGTAAGACCCAGTTCAGTTATAACTTCCCTGGTAAGTATTTCCAGCTCAATGTGTCTTAGTTTCCTAGGGCTTTGACAACAAAATACCATAAAGTGAGTGGCTTAGAAGAACAGAAAATTATTTTCTTACAGTTCTGGAGGCGTGAAATCTGAATTCAGGGTCTTAGCAGGGCTATGCTCTCTCTTTTTCAATTCTAGGGAAAGTTCCTTCCTTTTCTCTCTGAGTTTCTGGCAGCTCTGGCAGTTTCTGGCATCCTTGTGATTTGTAAATAGACCCTCAGATGCTGTCTTCCCTCTGGGTGTGACTCTTTCCAGGTCTGTCCTTCCTTTTAAAAGAAGCCACTCTGAATATATTAGGATTAGAACTCACCCTACTTCATTTTGACTTCTTTAATGGATAACATCTGCAAAGAAAAACCTATTTCCCCAAACAAGGGGAAACAGGTACAGGGATTAGGACTTCAACCTATCATTTGGAGCATGCAATTCAATCCATAATGTAAACCCCTCTCTTGGTGTGAATGAGCTGCATATGTGTGCTCCTACAGACTTGGATTTCCTTCTGTCTCAAACCTTAGCTTGGTGTGTTTGTGATTTTTGTAGGTTTGGTGGCATAGTGTCTAAGGCATTTGACTGCTAACCAGAAGGCTAGCAGTTCAAACCCACAAGCCACTCCTCAGAAGGAAGGTTGGGCAATCTACTTCCATAGTGATATTGCCTCAGAAACCCAAGAAGGGGTCACTATGAGTCGGATTTGACTCAATGGCAAACACAACAACAACAACAAACATCTGTACTGGTCATGAGAAGCTCTGGTGGCATAGTGGGTAAGAAATTTGGCTGCTGACTAGAAGGTCAGTGATTCAAATCCACCAGCTGGTCTGTGGGAGGAAGATGAGGCAATCTACTACCTCCAGTCTTGGAAACCCAGTGGGGGTCACTATGAGTTGGAATTGACTTAATGGCAGTGAGTTTTGTATACTAGTTGTGGCTCTGGAAGCCAGGGCCTCTTGTTTACTTTATCTTTGTCTCCTTGGTACCTGACAAATCTGAACATAACATCTAAACATAGCAAAGGACAGCATTCATTATTTTGGTATGGGTACTGGTGAAGCTGCAACTTGAAATGAAGGGGAAATAATTTATGCTTGAGAAAAAATATTTCTAGGTGTTTTGTAAGTTTCTTTATATTCTAAAATGTATATTATTTTAACAAAATGACTGCTTTTTCCCTTTGTTCCTTTTCTAAACTATTTGGAGAGATCTTAGCAGTAATTCACTTGGGATAAAGAGTGAAGCTTTGCAAAATAAACAAGCAGAGGACAATTAGTGATTTTAAAGTGTGCTAACCCACAAAGATTATTTTCTTTCTCTCCATGCATATTTGGTAAGAATGGTTCTCTGGGACTATGTAATTATGGGTGAATGACACTTAAATGCTAGAACAATAATTTGTAGGAAATACAATTATGAGAAGAAGTCATTAGGGGGAGTAAATGAACAGTTTGTTGGTTAACAGGTCAACTTTGAAAGCTGAGAGTAGTTAAACATCGTATTAAATTACATGTTTAAGAGCATAACCCTTTTTAATTTAAGCATATTCATAAATGATTGTGCATTTTAAACTGTATTTTTATGTTTTTTTGATTTGAATATAAAAAGGAAAGGAGCTGCCCAAAGTGGGTTTCTTGAGTTCTGTGCAATGAGAGGACTCACTCATATTTGAAATGTGTGCAGTGCTTTAGATCTACCTTGCGTGGAATTTAACTAACATTTGCAAAGTAATGAATATAATTTTTTGAGTATCAAAAGCTAATTGGGTTAATTTACAGTTATTTCCAGAGGCCAAAAACTCAATTACTTGTCTTGTCCTGGATTCAGAAGTCTTGTTTTCAGAACTTGTCACTGGCATATCATAGCTATGTAATCTTGCCTTTGAAGAATTCTAGTTTCATAATCTGTACACTGTTAAAAGGAAAACAAAAAACAAACCAAAACATTCGTGTAAAGCTACCTAGCATGGGTTGGGTTTATTTTAAGTTCTCAATAAATGTTTCCTCTTTTTTTCTGCTATGTACATATTGGATATTATGTACTTACTTGGGTGTCTGATGGGGGCTTGCAAGTGATTTTCCAGAAGGCAATGTTCAAAATAATTAACTTAAGTCACAATGAGTTGAATGCTAATCATGTGCCCAGGATTGTGTTAGGAGTTGTGACATGTGTAAAGGAAATATAAGGCAGTGGCTCTGCATTTCAAGCTGCTAACTGTGGTGGTGGGAAGATAAGATACATACACTATAGTAACAACAGAGTAACTCAGTACTGAAGTGTATGGTACTGACTATATGTTATATAACTAAAATTTCACCAAGGTCCCCTGAGCCTCCTCAGCCTATGGATATTTCTGCATGGCAACCCCTTGTGTTACAGAGTAGAACTGAGCTCCAAAGGGTTTTCTTCGCTGTTGTTGTTGTTGTAATTGTTACTAAAGCAGAACACCAGGCCTTTCTTCCATGGCACTGCTGGATGGGTTCAAACTGCCAATCTTTCAAGCTGTAGTTGAACATAGACTGTTAGTGCCACCCAGGGATCTTGAAAGGATATTGGGTTATGTTAATAGTTAAAAATTAACTTCAGATAATCTCTGTGACTTTATTCATTCTGATTTCCCTATCTATCATTTATTAAAAATAATTAGTTGAGATATCTTTGTTGCTTTTACTCTTGGTTGTGCTATGTGTAGCTTGCATACTGGCAATTACATGCAAACGAAAAACCAAACTCACTGTCATTGAGTCAATCTTGACTCATAGTGACCTGCTTTGGGTTTCCGAAGTGGTAACTCTTGACAGAAGTAGATTGTTCAGTTTTCCTTCTGCGGAATGGCTAGTGGGTTTGAACCACCAGCCTTCTGGTTAGCAGTCAGATGCCTTGGGCAGTATGCCACCAGAGCTCCTTGGCAGTTACATGGTAGGTATTTATTACATATTGATTATTGTGAACAATTGATAACAAAGTTTAATAAAATTTTGTCTTTGATAAACATTTTCTTGTGCTTGGTAGTGACTTTTCTTTGCATACACTCTAGAGTGGATCATTGAAATTCACATATATATGCATATACATTTAAATAAACTTTATTTCATTTTATTGTTCCCAAAGGTTAAAACATACAAACACAGAATAAAATTAAAATTATTTTCTTACGGGATGATTTATGTCTTAATTTTCACCTGCCCTATAATTAGAAATTTTGAACTCTGTAAATTTTTTTTAAAGATAAAATTGTTGCCCAAGTAAACTTCAGAAATTATATCATTAACCCAAAGACCTTTCTAAGCCTAGAACAACATTGTTGTTATAAGTTCCTGCACAAACACAAATAAATAAAGAGGAAAGTTTAAAATAATTTGAAAATGATTTATTGTTGGCCACTTCTGTAGTTAGCAATTTAAGTCTTACTACTTTACTTTAGTGCAACAAGGGAGGACAGTTACTTGCTGTGGGCTAAGGGTAAATTATGATGTATTGCAAAGGAGGAAGGAAATGTACTAAGGAAAGAGGAAGGAGCTGGGAGGAAGGAGTTGGGAGTAAGCTATGCGTTTTCTGAGATATTGCTTTAGATAATGGTTTGAAAAACACTTACCTTTGACTCTTGATGGAAAAGGCCAGAGTAAACTGTGAGACAGACTGCTTTCATCAATCTTTGATATTTAAGGACTAGCATGCTTATGTGGAGAGGACTAGATGGGGGCACTTGGGCCTAATGTTCCTTCTTCTTCAACTTTGCTTCACAATCCTATCTGGATCCAATCCAACGTGGATACCCACAGTCCAACGTGGATATACTATATTGTAGAGTTGGAAGAGATCATTTAATATATCAACATTTAAGACTGCTATTTGAAGGTGATTTTGGTTTTCTACTCTGTTTACATTTTGTGAAATAAATTGAAGCCTTCAAATTGGAAATGAGTTATGGACTTCTACATCAAAGAGTCAAATAATCATCTATTTTTATTTGAAATAAGAAAAAGATGGAAAAATTTCATCCACAAAACAGGATGATGTAGGGAAGGAATGGATAAGAGTAAAATACATTAAAGGTCTAACCTAGGTATTTCATAGATTTTATCTCATTTAATTCAACACTCCTATGAGGTAAGAGACTGCTATTTTTGCTTTGTAATTGAGAAAGCTGAAGCCTGCTTTTAAGTATATTATCCAAAGTTCCATGATTAGAATATGACAAAACTGGGATTTTCACACTTTACTACTCTCTACCCTGCATTATTTTTATCGCCACTATATACGTATCAGGAAACTAGCATTTAAAAATGTGAAGGAATTGGTGCTTATTAATCCTGCAGCTTGTTTCCCAGGTTCTTTCACAAGATTCTGTGGCTGAATAATGTTGTTGTTGTTGTTATGTGCCGTCGAGTCAGCCCCGACTCATAGCGACCCCTCCTTGGGTTTCCGAGGTAGTATCACTACGGAAGTAGGATTGCCCAACCTTCCTTCCGAGGAGTGGCTGGTGGGTTTGAACCACCAGCCTTCTGATTAGCAGTCAAGTGCTTTTAGCCTGAATAATGTTACACTCTTATTAATCATCAAAATATCTAAAGGCAAGTTTTCCTTGGGCTACTTTAGGTCCACGACCAGAAGTAATTGTCACCCATCTTCGGGCAGCCGCCCATGCCCATGACACAGTGCTGGCTCTGGAAGATGCTGTGGACTGGCACCCTGGTGATGAAGTTGTCATCATCAGTGGAGTAGGTGTCAAAGGTGCCAAACTGATAGAAGAGATTGTCATTGTGGAAACTGTGCACAATACAGACCTCCATCTTCGGTCACCCTTGAGGTACTGAGCTGTCAACTTGGCTAAATGTTGATGGAAGAAGATGAGATTTTAAATGCCTTAGTAGATGGTATATTTATTTCATCTTTCAAGGTATATGTTTACATAAAATAATGGTAGTTTCTTTCTTTTTTTTTTTTTGTAATTGTGGTGAATATATTCAACAAACTTCATATGTATAGTTCAGTGGCATTACTTATGTTCATCATGTTGTTCAGCCATCACCATTAAATGTTACCAATTTTCCCCATCATCTTTAACAGAAGCTCAGTGCTCCTTAAGCATTGAGTCTTCCTCCCTCCCTCACTCCTGCCCACCCCAGGTACTACAATAAACTTGACCACTATTCTAGATACTTCATATATAAATGGAACCATACAGTATGTGTTCTTTTATAACAGTTGTTTTGCTCAACATAATATTTTCAGTGTTGTAGCATGTATCAAGACTTCATTTCTTTTTATTACTAACATTCCATTGTATGTATGTACCACATTTTGTTATCTATTGTTAGATATTTGGGTTGTATCTTAAGCTAGGTTCTCTAGAAAAGAAAAACCAATGAAGTCTATATATATATACATACATACATAGAGAGAAAGAGAGAGAGAAAGAGAAAGAATGTGTGCAAGAGAGAGAGAGAGAGAGAACTTTGTCTTAAAGAAATGGCTTGCGCAGTTGTACAGACTGGCAAATACCAAGTCCTTGGATCAGACATCAGGCTGGAGGCTCCTCCTGACTCATGTAGTTGCATGGGCTAACGGACGCAAGGTCAACAGGCAATACAAAAGGGTGCTGGCTGCAGAGACTGATGAATCCAAGATTAGAGGCAAGATGGCAGGCTTTTGGTTCACAGGCTGTAAAGGCAACAGTCCCAAGATTGATAGGCAATATGGCAGGCCACTGGTTCTAGTTCAAGAAATGGAGGTCAGATTATGATGAGCCAGATGGAGGATCCAGGTCAAGTGAAAAGTCAAATAGCTTTGCTGTTGCTGTTGTTGTTATGTGCCGTGGAGTCGGACCTGACTCATAGCGACCCCTCCTTGGGTTTCTGAGGCAGTATCACTATGGAAGTAGATTGCCCAACCTTCCTTCCAAGGAGTAGCTGGTGGGTTTAAACTGCCAGCCTTCTGGTTAGCAGTCAAGTGCCTTAGGCACTATGCTACCAGAGCTCCCAACAGTTTTGCTAGGGTATCCATATATATTGGCAGCAGGCCCCACCCATGAGGAAACTCCCTTTCAGAAGATTGGTTGCTCTTAGCAGATCTCATCATAGACATGATTACATTATATCTGATCTCATCATGGTTAATCACTACATCATAGCTGCCTACCACTGAGAATGTTATCCCAGACAAGTTGACAGTTGATCAGGTTGTTTCCACCTTTTGGCTACTGTGAACATTGCTATGGTGAGTATTTATAGATATTTCATAGATTTTATCTCATTTACTCTCTTACACTACTCTATGAAGTAAGAGATTGCTGCTTTTGCTTTGTAACTGAGGAAGCTGAAGCCCAGTGCACAAATATCTGTTTGCCTTCTTGCTTTTAATTCTTTTTGTAGGGCTAGATATTTTGATTAAAAAAATCAAGACACATAAAACAATTTTAAGATTTGGACTTCTTGAGTATGTTTCTCTTTTAAGACCCTAGACCTTCTTCCATCTTATAGCAAGTACCACTATAATAATCAGCATAGTTTTTGATTATCATGTACTTGTACCCATTGTATACAAGTTTTGAAAGGTATAGACCCTCAAATGAACAATGGCACTAATCTAGTGCCTTTCTTTTCCTAATAAGATTCAGAGTGTGATTTTTTTCAGATGTGTCATTCTCCTTTTCTTTTCTACAGATATTCTTATGAGTACACAGAGAATTGGGTGGCTGGAGAGCACCTTGTTTTCAAGGCCACAGTGGCCTTGCTCACCAGAAGTATTACCTTTCAAGGAAATGTCACCGATGAGAGGATGAGGCACCTTGCTTCATGTCAGGAGGCCAGTGCTTCAGAAGGTAGAGGAGTATTTTGTTGGGAAATCCAATGAGTGAACAAGAATGTTCTCATTGTCAGATGATACATGGCATTGCTATGGTTGACTTCTTCAAAATAGAATGAACCCGAACTTTTGCACATCCACAATATTCTGTTGTTTTTATTTATTCATTTCTTACTGTGATTTGGGTGAAAGCATATATATTCTGTAGTTTCAAGGTTGCTCTTAATAAGTTGACATTTCATTTTCTCCTGCTTCCCCCCAGCATTTTGAAAGATATAGACAAAAGTATCCATTTTGGAAAGTAATTGCTTCTCTAGGGGGAAAAATTTCCCCTTAAAGTATTAAATCTGGAGACTTTCAAGAGAAATTTGAATTTCTTTTGAATTTATCTCACTAGTTATAATGAAATCTTAACTCTGTTACCAGGCCTCTTCTAATATTCTTAGGAAAATCGTAATGCTCTGGTTATGGACTTAGCAGCACATTCTTACTGATTAGACTGGTAGGACTCTCTTGCTTCCTCTACCCCGCCTTTTTTTCAGTGTGTTTTCTGAGTGAACTACCACATACTTTAGGTAAGTGGTCAAAAAAGTCAATTTATCTTCTAGTAGAATAACAGGCACTGAATCACACTGATGTGCCTATTAAACATCTATTTCAGGGATGGTTAGTTTAGTAGGTTATGTTTTGGTTTCCCAGCTTGTAGATTATGAGGCTTTCACATGTTGTGAAGACATCATTTGTCAACTTTGTTCCAGGATGGTGTGAGTGTCAAGGATGACTCCCAGGCATGAGCTCTCGATGGATGATAAGGCTGTTTACTGAGATGAGAAGAGCATAAGGTTTCGGGGTGAGAGAGTGAAGATCATGAGTAAATAGAGGTGTCTAGTAGTGTCTGGAGCCTGGAAGAAATATGAGGGCTGAAGATAAAGATTTGACAGGTGTCTGCACAAATGTGCATGTTGGTATGATGTTGGGAGATGGTTGAGTGTGAAGAGTTGTTAGTAGTGAGAAGCTCCTTGGATCAGCCATCAGGCTATTTTTCTATTCCCTAGTCCTTACAAACTTGTCATTCTTTGCAAAACATTTGGATAACTGTAGGTTATAATCCAATGACTGTCAAATTTTAATAATCTGCTGAGTTAGGATCTGCTTTCTGTTCACACACTCTTGGAAATTTCTCAGGTAAGTGGTTCTCAGGTCAGGTTTTGGAAACATTGTCTTTAATCATACTGTGAGATCATACTTCTAGGTTTGTACCATTATGAACCTACTAGCTCCTTAACCAAATCAAAACCAAACTCACTGCCATTGAGTCTATACCCCTTTGGGTTTCTGAGGTAGTCAATCTTTACAGAAGTAGATTGTCCAGTCTTCCTTCCATGGAGTGGCTAGTGGGTTTGAACTACCAACCTTCTGGTTAGCAGTCAAATGCCTTAGGCACTGTGCCACCAAAACTACTAGTAGAGAGAGAGAGAAAAAAAAAATTCTTGGTTTCACCAAAGCTCTTAAATGCTACAGGAAAATTTTCAAAATGAAATTAAATTCATAGACCTTAATTTTAAAAAATATTTCCCTCACCTCTTCTTTGTATGGTGCTGAATGTGAGTGAGGCAGCTAAATCAAACATTAAGAGGCCTGGCCACTCAAAAATATTATAGATCATGGACATAAATCAAGGAGCTCTAGTGGCATAGTGCCTAAGGCATTTGACTGCTAACCAGAAGGCTAGCAGTTCAAACCCACCTGGCACCCCTTGGAAGGAAGATTGGGCAATCCACTTCCATAGCGATACTGCCTTGGAAACCCAAGGAGGGGCTGCTAGGAGTCGGATTCCACTTGACAGCAGTGAGTTTGTTTTTTGTTTTCTGGACATACATCATCAGAATTGTGACAAAACATACACATAGAAAATATCTCTTTATTTACCTCACTGTATTCATTCTCTGGCCATTAGGAAATGACTGAGCTCTGTCATTTACTGTGGATTATTTGGGAAAGATACATCATTTTATATTATTGGCATGTCTTTGCTTCATTAGCGTGAACAATAAAGAATCAATTCAGAAGATGATTGATCTCTGATGTGAGGCTAGTTCACATAATCAAATGCCATGTGTCAACAGAAAGTGGCCTGGGTCTTGAGGTCACAACACTTTGTAGTAATAGTAGTGGTGGGTATTATATGCGTGTAATCTAATATCCTCTTGTCATCACAGAACTCACTTCAAGATGAACTGGCAGCAAGGCTTGGGAAGAAGGTGTTGCTGCAGGGGCTGCTTAGTTATTTCTCTGGATCCTTTTACCTTTTCTGCAGTGATGTTATTGCTAAGCCCCTAAACTAGAAAGCAGCAAAGTAAAGGGGAAGCCCCATCAGACAGCTTCAGACTAAAAAGTGCTGTGATTACATTCAGCACTCACATTTCTTCCCTACTGTTGTCAACCCCCAGAGGGTCATTTTACTGCACATTCCCTCCAGGGGATCTTTTGGATTAAAATAAGCATCTATTTAGCCTGGGCTTGTGTGTTGTAGTCTGCCTCTTTGTGACAATAAATTAAGGTGATTTATTTGGGGGTTTCTGGAAATAATAGAGTGAAATAAACATCATGCCCTAGTTATTGGATCTTTAATTAACAATCCAGAGGATAATCAAAGTGAAAAGGAAGTAAATTATTAAATGAAATAACAATTATCTTTCATTGTTTGTGCTGACAGTGCTTTTCAAACTGGAAGATACATTGTCTGTAAGCATGTTCAACATGCTTCAGGGCCCTTTAACATCATTCTATGTTTCAGGTAATTCACAAGGCTGTTTATATTCCAAGAGTGAGAAGATGCTAGGATCCAGGGACCTGGGTGCCAGAGTCATCATCCAGTCTTTCCCAGAGGAACCCAGCCAGGTTCAGCTGAAGGGAGTGCAGTTCCGGGACCTGGGGCAACCCTTCCAGAAGCATTTGAGCTCACTGACTTTGGTGGGAGCTATGAGAGGTAAGGGGGTCCAAGCCTATTACTTCTCATTTTTCTTTCCTGTCTTCTCCCATGTTCAAGGCAAACAGGCAAGGGACTGTGATGTTGGATGGATTCAGAGATGGATAAATGTTTATTTTGAAGGTGTTTATAAGTAGCTCATCTGTTCTCAAACCACAAGTTCCCAGTTGCCTTTGAGTTGGCTATGATTCATGGCAACCCTAAGTGTGTCAGAGTAGAACTGTGCTCAACAGGGTAGCATATTTTTCAGAAGTATATTGCCAGGCCTTTCTTCCAAGGCACCTCTGGATTGATTCAAGCCTCTGGGATTTTGGTTAGCAGCCAAGCACATTAACTGTTTGTACCACCCAGGAATTCCTATCAAACAATGTTGTTGCTGTTGTTGGGTGCTATCAAGTCATTTCCAACTCATAGAAACTCTGTGTAAACAGAACACAATGTTACCTGGTTCTGCACCATCCTCATAATTGTTCCTATGTTAGAGCCCATTGTTGCAGCCACAGTGTTCATCCATCTTATTAAGGGGCTTCCTTCTTTGCACTGACACTCTACTTTACTAAGCATGATGTTCTTCTCTAAAGACTGGTCCCTCCTGATAACATGTCCAAAGTACATGAGACAAAGTTTCACCATCTGTTCTTCTAAGGAACATTCTAGATGTAGTTCTTCCAAAACAGATTTGTTTGTTCTTCTGGTAGTCCATTGTATATAGTCAGTATTCTTCACCAGCACCATAATCTGAAGCCATCAATTCTTCTTCAGTTTTCCTTATCGATAGTTCAGCTTTCACATGTATATGAGGCTACTGAAAATACTATGGCTTGAGTCAGGCACCTCTTAGTTCTCAAGGTGCCATCTTTACTTTTTAAAACTTTAAAGAGATCTTTTGCACAGATTTGCATAGTGTATATGTCGTTTGATTTCTTGACTATTTCCATGGATGTTGATTGTAGATCCAAGTAAAATTAAATCCTTGATGACAACAGTATTTTCTACCTTTATCATATTGCTTATTGGTACATTTGTGAGGATTTTTGTTTTCTTGGGTTGTAATCCATACTGAAGTCTGTAATTTTTGATCTTCATCAATAAGTGCTTCAGGTTCTTTTTACTTTCATCAAGCAAGGTTGTATCATCTGCATATCAAAGGTTGTTAATGAATCTTCCTCCAATCCTGATGTCATATTCCTCTTCATGTAGTCCAGCTTCTCTAATCATTTCCTTAGCACACAGGTTAAATAAATACAGTGAAAGGATACAACTCTGATGCACATCTTTCCTAATTTTATAGTATGCATTATCCCTGTGTTTTCTTCAAACAATTGCCTCTTGGCAATAATCTCCAAAAAACCCACTGAATCTGACTCATAGTGACCCTCACTGGGTTTCTAAAGCTATAAATCTTTATAGAAGTAGACTGCCTCATCTTCCTCCCACGGAGCAGGTGGTGGGTTTAAACCACTGGCCTTCTAGATAGCCAGATGTCTTACCCACTATGCCTAAAATATTAGGGAACTTATTCAGAGCTATAGCCCCTACTCTGAAATATTCTGGTCTAAGATGGGCCTAGAGGTCTAAATTTTTATCAAAAATATCTTCTGATTCAGAAAGAGGTAGTCCACTTTGAGAAACATCATTGTAGGTATAACAAAAGTAGAGTGAATCAGACACCCACAGGTTCTGAATCCTGCTTCTACCGTTTACTAGTTTTGTGATTAGAGGCAAGTTGACATTGCATAGTGTAGCTCCAAAAGGTTGGCAATTCAAACCCACTCAGTGGCATTGTGCAAGAAAGTCCTTTGTGCAATCCCTACTATACCTGAGCCCATCGCTGCAGCCACTGTGTCAGTCCATCTTGTTGAGGGCCTTCCCCTCTTTTATTGACCCTCCACTTTACCAAGCATGACATCCTTCTCCAGGTAGTGGTCCCTTCTGACAACATAACCAAAGTAGATGAGACGAAGTCCGGCCATTCTCACCTCCAAGGAGCATTCTGGCTGTACTTCTTCCAGGACAGATTTTTTAGTTTTTTTAGTAGTCCATGATACTTTCAGCATTCTTTGCCAGTACCACAACTCAAAAGCATCAATTCTTCTTTGATCTACCATATTCATTTTCCAGCTCTCACATTCATATTAGGTGATTGAAAATACCATGGGTTGGGATAGGCTCATTTTAGTCTTCATAGAGCTATCTTTGCTTTTCAGCACTTGAAAGAGGTCTTTTGCAGCAAATTTGCCAACGCAATATGACTTTTGGTGTCTTGACTGCTGCTTCCATTGGCGTTGATCACAGAACCAAGCAATATGTAGTCTTTGACAACTTCATTCTTTTCTTCATTTATTGTGATGCTGCTTATTGGTCAAGTTGTGAGGATCTTTGGTTTCTTTATGTTGGGGTGTAATCCATACTGCAGACTGTAGTCTTTAATCTTCATCAGTAAGTGCTCCAAGTTATCCTCACTTTCGGCAAGAAAAGTTGTGTTGTCTGCATATCTCAGATTGTTAATGTGCCTTCCTCCAATACTGATGCCATGTTCTTCTTCATATAGTCCAGCTTCTTGGATTATTTGCTCAGCATACAGATTGAATCAATATGGTGAAGGGGTACAACCCTGACACACTCCTTTCCTGATTTTAAACCATGCAGTATCCCCTTGCTCTTTTCTAACGATAGCCTCCTAGTCTATGTACAGTTCCTCATGAGACCAATTAAGTGTTCTATAATTCCCATTCTTCTCAAAGTTATCCATAATTTGTAATAATCCACACAATCAAATGCCTTTGCATAGTCAATAAAACACAAGTTTTATTGGTATTCTTTGCATTGAGCCAAGATCCAAGTGACGTAAGCTATGATATCCCTCATTCCACATCCCCTTCTGAATCCAGCTTGCATTTCTGGAAGTTCTCTGTCAATATACTGCTGCAACCATTTTCTGAGTTATCTTCAGTAAAATTTTACTTGCATGTGATATCAATTGTTTGATAATTTCCACATTCTATGGGATCACCTTTCTTTTTGGAATGGGTACAAATATGGATTTCTTCCAGTCAGTTGGTCAGGTAGCTGTCTTCCAAATCTCTTGGCATAGCCAAGTGAGTACCTCCAGCGTGGCATCCATTTGTTGAAATATCTCAGTGAGTATTCCATCAATTCCTGGAACCTTGTTTTTCGCCAATTCCGTCAGTGCTGCTTTGACTTCTTCCTGCAGTACCATTGGTTCTCGATCATATTCTACCTCCTAAAAGGGATGATCATCTGCCAGTTCTTTTTGGTATAGTGACTGTGCATTCCATCCATCTTCTTTTGATGTTTCCAGCATCATTCAACATATTGCCCATGGAATCTTTCAGTATTGTAATTCAAGGCTTAAATTTTTTCCTCCGTTCTTTCATCTTGAGAAATGCCAAGCATGTTCTTTCTTTTTGGTTTTCTAATTCCAGTTCTTTGGACCTTTCATTATAGTACTTGACTTTGTCTTCTCCAGATGCTCTTTGAAATCTTCTGTTCAGCTCTTTTATCTTGTTGAATCTTCCATTTGCTTTAATTACTCTCCATTCAAGGATATGTTTCAGAGTCTCTTCTGACATCCATTTTAGTCTTTTTTTCCTTTCTTGTTTTTTTAATGATCTTTTTGCTTTCTTCATGGATGATGTTCTTGATTTTATCCCACAATTCGTCTGATTTTCGGTCATTGGTGATCAATGCATCAGATCTGTTCCATAGATGGCCTCTAAATTCAGGAGTGATATAATCAAGATCATATTTTGACTCTCATGGACTTCTTTTAATTGTCTTTAGATTCAGCTTGAACTTGCATATGAGAAATTGATGGTCTGTTCCACAATCAGCTCCTGGTCTTGTTTTGGCTGAAGATATTGAGTTTCTCCATTGCCTCTTGCCACAGATACATTCGATCTAACAGTGTACTTCATCTGGCAAAGTCCATGTGTATAGCTGCTATTTGTGTTGTCGAAAAAAGGTGTTTGCAATGAGTAAGTCGTTGGTCTTACAAAATTCTATCATGTGATCTCTAGTGTTATTTCTGTCACCAAGGCCATATTTTCCAACTACTGGTGATTCTTCTATGCAACTTTTGCATTCCAATCACCAGTGATAATCGGCACATCTTGATTGCATGTTCGGTCAATTTCACACTGCAGAAGTTGGTAAAAATCTTCAATTTTTTCATCTTTGGCTTTGTTGTCTAAATTTGAATATTAGTAGTATTAACTGGTCTCCCTTGTAGACATATGGATATTATCCTATCACTGACAGCATTACTTCAGGATAGGTCTTGATACATTCTTTGTGATGATGAATGCCATGCCATTCCTCTTTGATTTGTCAATCCCAGCATGACAGATCACATGATTGTCTGATTCAACATTGCCAAAACCAGTCCATTTCAGCTCACTAATGTCTAGGATATTGATCTTTACATGTTCCATTTCATTTTTGACAACTTTCAATTTCCCTAGATTCATACTTTGTACATTCCATGTTCTGATTATTAATGGATGTTTGCAGCTGTTTCTTCTCATCTTGAGATGTGCTACATCAGCAAACGGGGTCCCGAAAGCTTTACTCTTTTCACATCATCAACATTGGCTCTACTCTGATGAGGCAGCTCTTCCCCAGTCAAGTTTTGCATGGCTTCTGACCTAATCTTCTGGCACTATATTGGACAATGTTTCAGGGCTTCATAAAGTTTTTCTGTAATGTATCAGACAGTGTTTCACTGCTATTCATAAGGTTTTCACTGGCCAGTTCTTTGAGAAATGGATGGTCTCTTCCTTCTTCCGAGTATGTCGTCATCTGCAAGCTCCACTGAAGCCTGCACACCAGGGATAACCCTATTGGCATTTGAAACACCAGTGGCATAGCCTCCAGCCTCACAGCAACTCACAACCCTCCACCATAAGACAAACTAGCAGACAGTTTGTCTCCCTTAGCTGTTTCAGGCTGCTCCACTCACTTCCTGGCCTCCCCCAGCCTCTTCAACACCTGTTCTCCTGTGGTTGGCTCTCTGACACTTACTGGCACCACCTTCAGGCACTCTAACACCTGCCTGCCTTCGCCCGGCTCGCTGACAGTTACCAGCACTGCCCCCAGGGGCTCTGATATTAACTGTCCTTTGAATAGTTTTAAGCTTAAAGCTTGCTAGTACACAACTTGTTATCAGAGCACACACAGGTGATGGTTGTAGGGCATTCAGTGAGGCCCTCTCCCAATTGGACCTGGCATCACCAAGTCTGAAGCCAGTCACGTAGTGCTCCATTCCAATCACATAGCCCCCATCCCCACTTCCTCAAACTCAAGTATAAGTATCCCTACAAAGTGGGAAGGGGTTAGTGGTCATATTGGATCCACTCTGACCCACTGCTGCTGGACACTGAATTGGTAGCAATGTTTGTAAGCCTGCTTTCTTTCTTTTAAATTCCTGATTCTCTTTGTTTTTATTCTGAATAAACATTCATGTCTTGCCTATGCCTCTGGGGAATTTTTTGGACTTTCATTACCCAAGTTTTAACCTCTTTGGAAAGTTCCCATAGCAGTTTCTGAAACCAAAGTTGAAGGGAAGGAAGATCCAGGGTAAAAACTTAAACCCGGAGGTGATATGCAGAGAGTCGCAGAATTGGGGTACTGATGTTAAGTAGTGGGGATAGCAGCTCCATTTGTGAGTTACCTTTAGTCACTTCCAACACTCATTCTTTTTCTTTTTTTTTAATTGTGATTTGGGTGAAAATTTACAGAGCAAATTCACTTTCAGTACAGCAGTTCACATATACTTTGTCTCATGACATTGACTACAATTTACCCCAATGTAAAAGCTCCCCTCCCACTTTTTCCCAATAGTTACCTCTTCCCTGTGTCCAGCCCTCCATGTACTCCTGCCCCCATGTGTTGTCTCCTTGTGCATAAGCAGCCCTTCTTTCTCCCATGATAGTTCTCTCCAAGGAGTGTATCTACCTCAGATAAATGTTCAACTCATATGCCTGTCTTTTGTTTCCAGACCTGAAGAGCAGTTAGGGGGCCATAGTTTCAGTGGTTCCACCTGGCTCTATCAGACCAGCAAACCTGCCCCCCTCCCTTTTTTTTCCCAAATGCTTTTGAGTTTCATTCCACAATGTTCTCCCTCTCTATCCAGGATCTCCTACATAGATCCCCTTCCAAGTGGTTGACAGTGGTAGCTGGGCACTATCTAGTTCTTCTGGTGTCATAGTCATATAGGCTGTGGATTGCATGGTGTACCAGTTGCCAGGACTAATTGTTTCCATGAATCTTTGGTTTTCTTCATTCTTCTTTGCTCTGGATGAGGAGAGACCCATCACTGCATCTAGATGGCTGCTTGCAAGCTTTTAACATCCCAGTTGCTACTTGCCAAAGTAGGGGGTAGAACAATGTTTTGCCAACACTCACACATTCTAACTTTGCCTCCCTTTTGTTGTTGTTGGCAGGTGACTTCAAGTCAAGTTTGACTCGTAGTGAACCCATGTGACAGAGTAGAAGTGCCCTATAGCATTTTCATGGCTTTAATCTTTACTGAAGTAGATCACTAGGTCTCTCTCCTGTTGAGCTGCTGGGTGGGTTTGAACTGACATCCTTTAGGTTAGCTACCAAGCACTTAACTGTTGTATCAACAGGGATCCCTTAAAGGAATGCTGTTCTGGGAGCTCAGAGGTATTCTGGGAATTCACCAAAGACATCATGGTATACTTGGTGGTGCACATGGTGGTTGGCAGATGGGAGAATTTTAATAGGTAATGACAGAATAATCTTGGAGGACATTGAGGACAGGATATGGCATCATTTTTCCTTATTTCAAATTGTTTCCACACCAAGGATGTTTATTTATTCTTATTTTTCAGATTTCTTCCACTGTATTTATTTAACATTCATTTACAAGGATGGTTCCTAACATAGCCCTGTCCCTGGTACATTGGGATGCTTAATGTCTTTGTGCCCACCTCTCTGATCCTTTGGTTTCCTAGTGCTTACAGTGCCACAGGATATTTGATATGGGGCAGCTCCAGTATAAGTGAGAGTTGTTATTTTTGTTGGGTGCCGTTGAGTCAATTTCAACTCATAGCAACCTGATATGACAGAGTAGAACTACTTTATAGGGTTAGTTTCCTAGAAAGTAATCTTTACAGAAGCAGATTGCCAAGTCTTTCTCTTGTTGCAGAGCCAGTGGGTTGCTTCAAACCATCAACCTATTGGTTAGCAACTGAGTGCTTAACCGTTTGCACCACAAGGACTCCTTTAAGTAAGGGTAGGCACTCACGTATGAGTTATTGAGTGCACATAGTCAAAACACTCTCTTGCTCAGAATTTTCATTCAATCCCTATCCTTCTACCTCTGCGTCAATCCAAATTAAACAAACTCACTGCTGTCGAGTCGAACCTGACTCATACCGACCCCTCCTCAGGTTTCCGAGGCAGTATCACTATGGAAGTAGATTGGCTAATCTTCCTTCCGAGGAATGGCTGATGGGTTTGAACTGCCAACCTTCTGGTTAGCAGTTGAATGCCTTAGGCACTATGCTACCAGAGCTCCTCTGCTTCAATCAGAGTAGCTATGTGTGTGTATGTGTGTATTTAAAATCTATTTTCATATGTATTAAGTATTATTTGAAGAAAAAGTTTAGTGCTTTATAAGAAAGATTGAAAAACCACTGAATTAATAACATTATCCCTTTTAGCTCTCTATTAGACGACAAATATGTTTCCTTGGAGGGATAACACATTAACCCTGAGGTTAGAAACTTCTGACATAATGGCCAAAGAATCTTTTATTGTTTCATGCCCTGAAGGCTCTCTCACCCTGTGTGGCCAATTGCCTCCAGTCACTAGAGTTAGAAGTGCATTAGAATTTTTGCAGTCTATTTTTAAAGGCTTACCGATACCTGAACTCCACCCATTAAGAGCACCTCTGTACTTGGTTGTTCCGATGAGCAGGCACGTTGTAATGGAGTGATATTATAGTGAAGATACAGAGTCAGGAGATGTCTCTAGCAGACAGTGTTTCCCTGCAGAAGTAGATATGGATGGGTTATCTTATTGAGGTAGATCCTTGATTAGTAATGTGGGGGCAGAGGGTACTAGTGTACCTGACATGGAGGGGAATGTGGAGGTCCAGGACATATGGTGATCTTATAGTTGAAAATTTTCTGCATTGTCTCAGCTTTAGAAGTTTAATTATTCCATAAACCAAAGTAATTTTTCCATTATCCCCAAAATTTGGCATTCATATCTCTTTCATTATCTGGAAATAATACAGAACTTCTTTTTCAAAAGTTTAATCTAATTATCCAAATAATAAATTTTTTATTATGCTAATTTCCATTTCCTCCAACAGACTGAAGATACTCAGGTGCAGAGTTCACTTACTTTTGTTCATCTTTTTATTCCCAGCACAGTACAGACTGCCTTAAACATATAGTTGATACTAAGCACCAAAAGGTTTGTGGAGGGAGAAAGATGAAGCAGTCTATTTCTGTAAAGATTTCCGGCCTTGGAAACCTATGGGGCAGTTTATTCTGTCTTACAGAGTTGCTGTGACTTGGAATTGACTCAATGGCAGTGGGTTTGTTTTCTTTTAAGTAAATATTCATTGGCTGATCTAAACCTCATAAAATGATTTTGGGGTCATAAAATATGCCTATTTTGTGTTTCCTGGGCAGATAACACAGTAACCCAGAGATTAGAAAATGAGCTTGGATAATTTTCCTAAATGTCTGTTCCTTTTAGCAAAATACAGGGTTCTTCCTCTTTAGCTTATAAATCTACTGTGATCAAATGTGAGTGTCAAGTTCCTCAGGTCACCCCCTGACTTTGCTTACATGGAATCAGAATCTCTAGGTGACTTGGGCCAGGAATATTGTTGCCTGACAAGTTAAAAATATTAACTCACAGCTCAAGAAGTAATAACCATATCTCCTCATACCAGATGCAGTTTTCAAAGATCAGGGTTGGCCAATAAACAGTATCCTTCATGTTGTCCTTAAATTTTCTGTAGCTGCTATCTGCCATATTGTGATGAGAGTTGGTACCAAAGATGGTGCCCAGTATGATATCTTGATAGGCATGCATGCATTCTTTTGTGGTTTGGTCATGGCCATACTGTTTTATGCTTACATCATTTTCTTTTCTAATACTTGCATGTTGGGTTTCACTTTGCTTAAGTCATTGGTATGTCTGAGGCCCAGTGATTTTCTTCATTTGATTTGATTGCTGCTGTTAACTCTTTGCCTTCTGAATCTCATTATGGTGAGAGGGATGCTTTTAGCTATAGTACAGTTTGCTTTAGATGTGATCAACAAAACCTGAGGAACCTTTGTGATTTGTTCTTTATAAAGTCCCTAGGTGGGACAACTGGTTTGTAATTGACTACTAACCCAAAGAACCGGAAAAAAAAAAAAAAAAACCCAAACTCACTGCCATTGAGTTGGATCCAACTCATAGTGACCCCACTTTGGGTTTCTGAGGTGTTATCACTATGGAAGTAGATTGCCCAGTCTTTCTTCTGAGGATTGTCTGGTGGGTTTTAATTGCCAGCCTTCTGGTTAGCAGTCATATGCCTTAGGCACTATGCTACCAGAGCTCCCAAACTAAAGATTGGTGGCTCAAAACTACCCAGTGATACTAAGGAGGAAAGACTTGGCAATCTGCTTCAGTAGCAATCATAGCCAAGAATACCCTCTTGAGCATAATTCTGCTCTGGTACACATGGGATCGCCATGATTTGAAATTTACTAGATGGTAATGGGTAGTACCAGTAGTCTAGTTCCAGTTCTTACCTTACTCTTTCCTATTCAGATTCCTACATACAGGGCTGCTCAGTATGGAACTCCTTCAGTAGAGGCCTCAGCATGTCCAGGACCATGGACCTGGAAGTGGACAGCAATGTGTTCTACAAAATTTTCGGCCATGCACTGTTGGTGGGTAAGTGAAATAAACGTGTTTAATTTTGGTATTCTTGAGTAGGATGCATAGTTTTTCAAAAGGAATTGGCATAAAATTTGCAATTCTCTTTTATAAAACTTGGCCTCTGATCATTGGAAATAGGCCATAGTAAAAATTCTAAATTTAAATTTAATTGTCACTGGTTGATTTACTAAACTTTGCCAATAGGAAGCTGATCTTTTAAAAGTGACATTTTAGTTCAGGTTAATAAATATACAATGATGAGTAGGTTTTAAAATTTATCCTTAGTGCTTAATATATTAATGAGTACATTGTAGCTGTTTTTGTTGAAAGAGCTGAATGAGTTAATAAACAAAGGATCCCTGTAATCAGAATAAAAAATAAAGCAGAGATTTTCACCCAAAGTAAAATAAACTATATTTGTTAAATATTTTTTATATTTAAATTCTGATTTGTTTTACTTAAAATTGATCTTTTTGAGATAAAAGATACAAAGGTTCTACTCCTGAGAGGGAAAACTGTTTAGTGAGAAAATATGGATCATATTAACTTGGTTTAAAAGAAACTCCAGCTCTAAAAGTCAAAGAACTAAGGACAACAGAGGTAACTGGTTCTAGAAAAACCTGATTAGAAAGGAGAGCTATAGAAAAGTCAAACTAACAGATATAGGATTAAATTGGTTCATTCTTCTTACTGTTGTCTATGGAAAAGAAAAGTTTGCTGAAACATGGAACATAAATTCAGGAAGGTATCTGTCTTATGTTAGGTTCTCTAGAGAAGATAATTCGGTGAGGCATATGTATATATAATTTTATCTAAAGGAAATGGCTTATGTGGTTGTGGAGGCTCGCAAGTCCCAAATCTGTGAGTCAGGTGTCAGGCTAGAGCATTCCCAGACTCATATGGTTAGAGAGGTTGATGAACCCACAATCGGCAGGTCAGATGACAGGCTGTTTGCTCATAGGGCTGTGGAAGCTGATGGATCCCCAGGTCGGCAGGTCAGATGGCAGGCTACTGGCTCACAGCACTGTAGAAGATAGTGAATCCCAGATCCAGTAGGTTAGATAACAAGCTGCCAGCTCAAGTCCCAAGAACCAGAGGTCAGGTGATGATGAGCCAGATATAGGATCCAGAGCAAGGGAGGGCCTTGCCAGAGCATCCATGTACATATACTTGATGCAGGTTACATCCCTAAGGACACTACCCTTACATCAGAGTAAGGTTGTGACTTGAGTAAGGATGTGACTCAAATGAAGTCATGACTTATTTGTAAAGATGGGACTTCACACATTCTTGTAGGATACACCCCACACTAATCCTGCCTCATTAGTATATGAATGTTAGGATTCATAACATAAAAAATGGAGGATTATTACATCAGATCACAAAATGGAGGACATCTACTAGAAATCAAGGTCTAACCAACTTGACACATAACATTAGCAATCACAGTTTACTCCTTGTCAACTTGTTACTGGTACCCATTTCTCTAAACAATATATAATCTCTAAATAAAAACATTATAAAGTTATACTTGTACCTAATATGATATAACTAGCATGCATACAACTGAAAATATATTAGTCCTGTTTATATCTTATATTTTATAAGAAAACAAAAATATTTGCTATATATATATATGTGTGTGTGTGTGTGTGTGTATACACACACACACATATATACATATGTATACACACATATATGCATATATATGTGTGTGTGTGTGTGTATGTATATATGCTGTCAGACTTGATGGTACATAACAATACACACACACACACACATACATACACACATATACATATATATGTACGTGTATATATATATATACATAAGCAAAAAACAAACCCACTGCCGTTGATTCGAATCCGACTCATAGCAACCCTTCCTTGGGTTTCTGAGGTGGTATCTCTATGGAAGTAGGTTGCCCGATCTTCCTTCCTAGGAGTGCCTGGTGAGTTTAAACCACCAGCTTTCTGGTTAGCAGTCAAATGCCTTAGGCACTACACCACCAGAGCTCCCACACACACATACACACACATACACGTATAATAAAACAAGGAAGAAACATAACAATTACAATCCTTGTTTCTGTAACTGGTCATGTAGTTGTAACTGCTATTTAGAGCTACCTTCTTCTGTTGTTATGTGCCATGGAGTCAGACCCGACTCATAGCGACCCCTCCTTGGGTTTCTGAGACAGTATCACTACGGAAGTAGATTGCCCAGCCTTCCTTCTGAGGAGTGGCTGGTGGGTTTGAACTGCCAGCCTTCTGGTTAGCAGTCAAGTGCTTTAGGCACTACACTACCAGAGCTCCTACAAACTCACTGCCGTGGAGTCGGACCTGACTCATAGTAACCCCTCCTTGGGTTTCCAACGTGGTATCACTACAGAAGTAGATTGCCCAACCTTCCTTCCAAGGAGTGGCTGGTGGGTTTGAACCACTAGCCTTATGGTTAGCAGTCAAATGCCTTAGGCACTATGCCACCAGAGAAATCTCCTTCTTCCATTAGCTATTCATATCCCATTTACCCTCAGCAAACACCTCAGTTGGTCGTGTTTTTCTTTGCTGGTGGGGTAACCCAAACCTTCCCTTAAGGGGTCTGGGCCATAAGTAGTCATGCTGGAATTAAGTTGCTGTAATTTTTGATTGACTTTAATCTCAGGGCATGGTAGTACTAAGAGAGGCCCTCAGGGACCTCCTGTATTCCAGGAATACTCCTCTTTTCTTCCATTATATAATATCAATCCTGTTTCCCCTTAAATATCAGGATCAATCACACCAGCCAATATGGTAACTTCCTTCTTTTCTTATTGATACAGTGGCTTGAGGATCCCAAAGTGGCTGAGTGGCATTCTTAACTTCCAATTCAATGAAATCAATGTTATGTCTCCTGGTGGGTACATTCCTCCTTTTGGAACTAAGAACTCCAGACCCACAGAGCATAGGGTTGTGGGGGCAGAAAGCAAAAATTTTGTGAGTGAGTCATTAAGGGTAATATTGAGTGGTGCCACCCTCATTTCTACCCCTTAATTTCTGGACCCTGACTATGGGAGAAACAGAAACATATATTGAATACTGGTTGACAGCTTATACAGCCTCCTAGAGAGCACTGCTCCAACCTTGTAAAGTATTGCCAACTCTCTGGCACTGTGATTGTGTCTTTAGAAGCCCATTGAATCTTTTTATCAAGCCAGGTTCTTCAGAATTATGGTGAACATGGTAAGACCAGTGAATTCCATAAGAATGGTACTATGGCTGTACTTTATTTACAGTGAAGTGAGTCCCTTGACCCAAGGGAAATGCTGTGTTGGGATACCATGATGGTGGATAAGGCATTCTGTGGATCCGTGGATGTTAGTTTTGGCAGAAGTACTGTTTTCAGGGGAGGCAAATCCATATCCAAAGTAAGTGTCTACCCAGGAAGAACAAAATGCTGCCCTTTCCATGATGGAAGTGATCTAACTGCCTTGAGGAATGGTATCATATTAGAGACTCTGCGTTGGTCTCTGCTGCTGGCAGATTGGGCACTCAGTAGTGGCTGTAGCCACGTTGGCCTTGATGAATGAAAATCCTTATTGTTGAGCTTATGCATAGTCTCCATTCCTGCCATCATGGCCACTTTGTTCATGAGCCCATTGGGAATGACAGGAGTTGCTGGGGAAAGAGGATGACTGTTTTCCACAGAACACATAATCTTATCCATTTGATTGCTAAAATCCTTCTCTACTGAGGTCACCCTTTGGTGAGCATTCACATAAGACAGGAATATCTTCATTTCTTTGGCCCATTCAGAGAGGTCTATCTGCATATCTCTACCCCATCCATCCTTGTCACCAATTTTCCAATCATGTTCCTCCCCTGACTATCTAGACAAACCATTGACCATATTCCATGAATCAGTATACAACACACATTTGGCAACTTCTTTCAAGCAAAGTGAACAATCAGATCCACTGGTTGTAGTTTTGCTCATTGCAAGTATTTCCTTTCATCACTGTCCTTCAAAAAGATCCCAGAAAGGGGCTACAGTGTTGCCACTGTCCACTTTCAAGTAGTGCCTGTGTATCCCACAGAACCAACCATCTGTAAACCATGCACAAGTTTTCTCTTCCTCAGTCAAATGATTATAAGGAACTCCCCATGAGGTCATAAGTGAAGACTTGGAGAGGGAAGGTAATGTGATAGGAGTGGAGACCATGGGCATTTGGGCCACTTCCTCATGCAACTTACTTGTGCCTTCAGGTCCTGATCTAGCCCAATCTCATATATATTACTTCTCCTTAATGATGGTGGCTTCTGTGCACATTCAGTTTTGTAACTCTGTGGGTCAGACAACACCCATTTCACGATGGGAAGCTCAGACCTCATGGTGAATTTGTGGCCCATGGTTAGGTGTTCAGTCTCTGCTAAGGCCCAGTAACAAACCAAAAGCTGTTTCTCAAAAGGAGGGTAGTTACCTGTAGAGGATAGCAGGGCTTTGCTCCCAAATCCTAAGGGTCTGCTCTGTGATTCATCAATAGGGGCCCTGCCAAAGGCTTCAAACAACATCTCTACTGGGATCTCAAACACCTAGGGTATTTGACTGCTAACCAGAAGGCTGGCAGTTCAAACCCACTAGCCAGTCCTTGGAAGGAAGACTGGGCAATCTACTTCTGTAGAGATACCACCTTGGAAACCCAAGGAGGGGTCACTGTGAATTAGAATCAACTCAATGGCAGTGAGTTTGGTTTTGGTTTTATTTGCTACTGACACTTTAAACACCATTGGAAGAGCTGGATCATATGGTCCAAGTGGCCGAGCATTTTACATGGCAGCCTGAATCTGTTGCAGAGCCTTCTCTTGTTCTGAGCCCCCCTCTAAACTAGCAGCTTTTCAAGTCACTTGATAAATAGGATGGAGTAGCACACCCAAGTAGGGGATATGTTACCTCCAAAGTCCACAGACACTCAACACTGTGTTGTGCCTCCTTTGTAGTTGAAGAAGGGGCCAGATGTAACAATTTATCCTTCACTTTGGAAGGAATATTGCAACATGTTCCACGCCACTGAACTCCTAGAAATTTCACTGAGGTGGAAGTGCCTGAATTTTTATTTGATTAATTTCCCACTCTGTAGCATGCAAATATCTTACCAAGAAGTCTAGAGTCATTGTATAAATATAGATCTCTATATCTGTATCTGTATCTATGAAAAAACCAAAACCAAACTCACTGCTGTGGAGTCGTTTCTGACTCAGCAAACTCTCCTTGGGTTTCCTAGGCAGTATCTCTACAGAAGTAGGTTGCCCAATCTTCCTTCCGAGGAGTGGCTAGTGGGTTTTGAACTTCTGATTAGCAGTCAAATGCCTTAGGCACTATGCCACCAGAGCTCCTATCTATATCTTTCTCAAATATACATATATATTTATCTCAAGGAAATGGCTTACGTGGTTGTGGAGACTGGCAAGTGTCACATTCGTGGGTTAGATATCAGGCTTCTCCTGACTCACAGGATCACAGGGAGTGAAGAACCCACAGTTGTCAGGTCACATGGCAGGCTGCTAGCTCAAGTTCCAAGAACTTAAGATGATGATGATGAGTTGGATGCAGGATCCACAACAAGGGAGAGCCTTGCTGGAACATCATATATATAGCTTGGGTTAGGGGCACGCTTTAAAGAGGTCTTTTGCAGCAGATTTGCCCAGTGCAGTATGATATATGATTTCTTGACTCCTGCTTCCATGGGTGTTGATTGTAGATTCGAGTACAATGAAATCCCTTACAACATCAGTCTTTTCTGCATTTATCATGATGTTGCTTATTGGTGCAGTTGTAAGGATTTTTGTTTTATTTATGTTGAGGTGTAATCCATACTGAAGATGATTTTTTCATCTTCATCAATGAGTGCTCAAGTTATCTTCACTTTCACCGAACACGGTTGTGTCATCTGCATATTGCAGGTTGTTAATGAGTCTTCCTCAAATCCTGATGCTGTGTTCTTCTTCATATAGTCCAGCTTCTCGAATTATTTGCTCAGCATACAGATTGATTAAGTATGATGAAAAGATACAAGCCTGATGCACACCTTTCCCAGTTTGAAACCATGCAGTATTCCCTTGTTCTGTTGGAACGACAGTCTCTTGGTCTATGTACAGGTTCCTCATGAGCACAATTAGGTGTTCTGGAATTCCTATTCTTCACTAAGTTATCCATAATTTGTTATGATCTATACAGTCAAACTCCTTTGCATAGTCAGTAAAACAGAAGTAGACATCTTTCCAGTATTCTTTGCTTTCAGCTAAGATCCATCTGACATCAGCAGTGATATCCTTCACTCCAAGTCCTCTTCTGAATCCAGCTCACATTTCTGGAAGTTCACTCTCAATATACTGCTACGGCTGTTTTTGAATTATCTTCAGCATCATTTTACTTGCTTGTGATATTGTTCTGTTTACCTAGTGCCACTCTGACAAGAATATACCACAAATGGGATGGCCTTAAAAAACAGGAGTTTATTCTCTCACAGTTTGGAGGCTTTAGGTCGAAGTTCCAAGTGCCAGGCTCTAGGGACTATGTGAAAGCCCCTTGACCTTGGGTTTCAGTTCTGCCTCATGCTTCTGGCCCACTGAAGCTAGAGGCATCTTTTCAATCAGGCAGCTAGTGGCTGCTGAGGCTAACAAGCCCCAAGTTGACAAATAAAATGGCACAGTCCCGATGTTACCAAACCACATGGCAGGCCATAATTCAAGTCCATTGCAAGTCCCAAGGTCAGCAGAGCATGGCAGGCTGCTGAACAACAACATGGCTACATGCAGGGTCCAAGAATATCATAAGCTAGAGACCGTTCCCAAAGCTGTTTCTTATATATGGGAAGCAGACCATATACCCAAAGGCAGCTATTCAGCTGCTTACAATAGATTCCACCATGGAGTTGATTACCAGTCTCATCATGGGGAATACTACATCAGCTGCCCAGCCACTCAACTAGGCCTAGCTAAGTTGACACACAAACTTAACCACCACAGATATTGATAATATTGTTGATAATTTCCGCATTCTGTTGGATCACGCTTCTTTGGAAGGGGCACAAATTTGAATCTCTTCCAATAAATTGTCCAGGTAACTGTCTTCCAAATTTCCTGGCATAGATGAGTAAAGTGCCTTGAGAACTGCATTTGTTTGTTGAAATATTTCAATGCATATGCCATCAATTCCTGGAGCCTTGTTTTTTTCCAATTCCTTTAGTGCATCTTGGACTTCCTCCTTCTATACCATTGTTTCTTGATCATATGCTACTACGTCAATCCATTTCACATTGAGTGAGATTCTTGTCCTTTTTCACTGATCCTCCACTTCACCAAGCATGAAATCCTTCTCCAGAGAATGGTCTCCTCTGACAACATGACCAAAGTAGGTGAGATAAAGTCCAGCAATTCTTGCTTCCAAGGAGTTTTCCAGCTGTACTTCTTCCAGGACAGATTTGTTCGTTCTTCTGGCAGTCCACAACATTTTCAGTATTCTTCACCAATACCATGACTCAAAAGCATCAATTCTTCTTGTCTTCCTTATTCATTGTCCAGCTTTCACATACATATGAGGCTATTGAAAATACCATGGCTTGGGTTATGTGCACCTAAATCTTCAAAGAGACATCTTTGCTCTTTAGCCCTTTAAAGAGGACTTTTGCAGCAGGTTTGCCCAGTGCAATTAGTTGTCTGATTTCTTGACTGCTGCTCCATTAGTATTGATATTTCGCCCATAGACTCCTTAAATATTGCAATTTGAGCCTTGAAATTTTTCTTCAATACGTTCAGCTTGAGAAATGCTGAGCATGGTCTTCGCATTTTGTTTTCTAATTCCAGGTCTTTGCATATTTCATTATAATACTTTAGTTTGTCTTCTCAAGCTGCCCTTTGAAATCTTCTGTTCAGCTCCTTTATTTCAACATTTCTTCCTTTCACTTTAGCTACTCTCCATTCAAGAACAAGTTTCAGAGTCTCTTCTGACATCCATTTTGGTCTTTTCCTTCTTTCCTGTCTTTTTAATGACCTTTTCCTTTCTTTGTATATGATATTCTTGATGTCACCCCGCAACTTCTCTGGTTTTCAGTCATTGTTGTTCAGTGCGTCAAATCTGATTTTCAGATGGTCTCTAAATTCAGGTGGGATGTACTCAAGGTCATATTTTCTCTCTTGTGGACATATTTTAATTGTCTTCAGCTTCAACTTGCATATCAGCAATTGTTGGTCTGTTTCATAATCAGCTCATGGCCTTGTTTTGACTGATGATACTGAGCTTCCCAGTGGCCTCTTTCCACAGATGTAGTTGTTTTGATTTCTACGTGTTCAATCTGGTGAGGTCCATGTGTATAATCACCATTTATGTCATTGAAAAAAAAGTATTTGCAATGAATAAGTCTTGCAAAATCCTATCATGTATTATCCAGCATTATTTTTATCGCCAAGGCCATATTTTCCAACCACTGATGATTCGTCTTTGTTTCCAGCTTCTGCATTCCAATCACCGGCTATAAATGGTAAAATTCTTCGATATCTTCAACTTTTGCTTTGGTCCTTGGTGCATAAATTTGAATAATAGTCATTTTAACTGCTGTGCCTTGTAGGCATATGAGTATTATCCTATACTGACAGCATTGTACTGCAGGATAAATCTTGAAACATACTTTTTGATGATAAATGTGATACCATTCCTTTTCATTTTATCATTGTTGGTTTAGTCTACCATATTATTGTCTGATTTAAAATGGCCAATGCTGGTCCATTTCAGCTCATTAATACTTAGGAGATTGATCTTTAAGCATTCCATTTCATTTTTTACGACTTTCAGTTTTCCTAGATTCATACTTCATATATTCCACATTCTGATAATAAATTAATAAATTATTAATGTTTGTAGCTATTTGTTCCCATTTTGAGTCGTGCCACATCAGCAAATGGAGGACCCCAAAGGTTTACTGCATCCACATCATTAAGGTCAACTCTACTTTGAGGAGGCAACTCTTCCCCAGTTGTATTTTGAGTGCCTTCCAAACTGAGGGGTTCATCATCTGGCACTATTATCTGACAGTGTTTCCTGGCTTTCCCTAATGTTTTCCAGTAATATATGAGACAATGCTTCACTTCTTTTCATAAGGTTTTCAGTGGCCAATTCTTTCAGAAGTGGATGGCCTTACCTTTCTTTCCAGTCTGCCTTAGTCTGGAAGCTCTGCTAAAACCTGTGCACCATGGGTCACCCTGCTGGTAGTATAGCCTCCAGCCTCATAGCAACAAGAAAGCCACTGCAGTACAACAAACTGACAGATGAGCAGTGGAAGAAATGAAATAGTAGATCTGTTTATCTATTTTTATTTTATTTTTGCACATTTTGTTGTGATTTGGGTGAAAGTTTACAGAGCAAATTAGTTTTCCTTTCAGTAATTTATGCACATTTTATTTTGTGACATTAGTTGCAGTCCCCTCAATGTAACAGTACTTTTTTATATTTTTAAAAAGGAACTTCTGATCCATGATTCTCTACAACTAAAAAGTCACTGCGGTCTGTAGCTCCTTGTCTGGTTCATAGATTAGAAACTCAAAAGTTAAAAACAAACAAACAAAAAAAGCAACCATGTGCAAAAGAAGAAATAATGTTGCAGTGTTCCTTGTTTTCCTGAGTGGCATGAAATGCACTGAAATTACATGGTCTTTTGTTCTCAGGAACATACGTGGAGATGAGATACTTCTCTTGGGAGACAATTCTTAGGAGAGAAAATGGTAAATATGTAAATTGGTTTTAAATCTATTATAGTCCATTTGAATTGTTGTATACTTAACAGAGCGGCCTGATGGCAAACTGTTAGCTGTCTCAAATTTATTGAACATACTATTTTATAAATACATATAATTTGTGAGTATGTGTATGTATACAGTTGCCCCTTGAACAACCTGAGTCCACTTATACATAGATTTTTTTCAATAAATATAATTGGAAAATTTTTTTGAGATTTGAAAATACTCTCAGTTAGATGAACTGTGTAGCCTAGAAATATTGAGAAAATTAAGAAAAATTTAGCTATGTCATGAATGCATGAAATATATAGGTACTAGTTCATTTTATCATTTACTACTATAAAATACATATAAATCTATTATAAAAAGTTGAAATTTATCAAAATTTATGCACAGAATCATAGACCATACATGGCATCATTTGCAGTCAAGAGAAATGTAAGTGAATGGAAAGGTGCAGTATTAAATCATAACTACATAAAATTAACTGTAGTACATACTGTACTATTGTCATAATTTCATAGTCACCTACTGTTGCTGTCCTGGTGAGCTCAAGTGTTATGAGTATTGCTTAAAATTCTGTATGTTATTAGTTATATCCACATGAAGAGATCATCTCTCCAGTAAATTGTATATCATAGTAAAAAGTGGTCTCTTGTGGTTTCCATCATGTTTTGTGCAATGCTGTAAACCTTGAATAACACTGTGGGACCCATACTGAGTGCCACTAGTGATGCTTGAAGTGATCCCCAGAAGCAAAGTCATATGACAGTACAAGGATAAGTTGAATTGCTTAATATGTACTGTAAACTGATGTCTGCAGCTGTGGTTGCCCCCCATTTAAAGATAAATTAATCTAGCTTAAGGATCATTGTAAAAAAAAGAAAAGGAAATTTTTGAAGCCATTGTTACAGCTATACAGGAGGTGTGAAAACCTTGTACTTTCTGTGAAATACCTTTTTTATCTTGTATTGAAAATGCAGCTTTTATGTGGTTGCAGGATTGCTGTAAGAAAGGTGTACCTATAGACTCTAATATGATTCGAGAAAAAGCATGGCTGTTATATGACAACTTAAAGGAAAATGAAGGTGAAGGATCTAAAGCTGGATAATTTAATGTCAGCAAATAATAATTTCAATGAATGTTAAAAAAAAGTCTTGGCTAAAAAAATTTCAAGATAACAGGAGAATCAAGCCTCTGCTAACCAAAATGCAGCAGATGAGTTCCCAGACACCATAAAGAAAATCATTAAAGAGAAAGGGTGTCTGCCTGAACAGGTTTTAATGAGATGAAAGTGCCCTATTCTGGAGAAAAAAAAAAAAAAATGCCACAAAGGACATTTATTACTAAGGAAGAGAAACAAGCACCAGGATTTAAGGCAGGAAAGGATAGGCTAACTCTACTGTTTTGTTCAAATGCAGTCAGGTTTATGATTGAGACTGTTTGTTATCAGTAAGCCCTTCAGTAACTGTATGCTATTAACATTTAAGTTTGTGGGGAATCAAAAACTATATGTAGATTTTTGACTATGTGAGGGGTTGGCACTCCTAACTCCCATGATGCTTAAGGGTCAATTGTATATCCGAACCATTATGTGTATAATTGAAGGCTGGTGGTTCAAACCCACCAGCTACTCTTTGGAAGGAAGCTTGGGCAATCTACTTCCATAGTGATACCACCTGGGAAACCCAAGGAGGGGTCACTGTGAGTTGGATCTGACTCAATGACAGTGCATTTTGTTTGGTTTGGATGAGTATAATTAGAATCAAGAGTGTTGTATAGATTTTACTTATAGTTATGAATCCCTGGGTTTGATTTATCTTTTTTAAAATCAGACAGGTCAGAACAAGGAAATATAATAAGAAACAATATGATCATCAGTGTTTCTGGGGCTGAAGGACTCTCCATTCCTGAAATGTTGACACCATCTGGTATCTATATTCGCAATCCCACCAATATTGTGGAGGTAAGATCTTCAGCGTTGTTAGGAAAGTCAGAAATGAGAGGGCGTACCCACCAGCCACTCCTTGCAAGGAAGATGGGGCAATCTACTTCTGTAGTGATACTGCCTCGGAAACCCAAGGAGGGGTCGCTATGAGTCGGGTTCAACTCCATGGCATGTAACAACAACAACAACACAGTTCAATACAAAAGTTAGTTGGAGTGGTGGCCTGAGTGGCATGGTAGGAAATGTTTACTTGCTGCACATAAGTGTTGAGAAACTAATTTATGATTTTATGTTTGTTGTTGTTGTTGTTATTATGTGCCATCGAGTCAGCCCTGACTCATAGCGACCCCTCCTTGGGTTTCCGAGGCAGTATCACTACGGAAGTAGGATTGGCCAACCTTCCTTCCGAGGAGTGGCTGGTGGGTTTGAACCGCCAGCCTTCTGGTTAGCAGTCAAGTGCCTTAGCCACTATGCTACCAGCGATTTTATGTTAAACAAGTGCTTTAGGATAAATGCACTCACCCTTTTTCTTAGAATTCCTGTGAGCTTTCTCTGAAGCAAAATCTATATGGAACCAACAAAGTAAGTTGATATTTTCTGATTGCTTAGAGTAATGTAAACTAAAATACCATCCTGAACTATCCACTGGGGGTGCTAACTTTTTGTGTTTATTGATTCCAACATCAATTACTGATTAAATCTATACTATTTTACTATTTGAATTTGACCATATCATTGCCTATTTAGAGTGCCTAAAATTGAGGGTTATCAAAATCAGAATGTGTCTGAGATCATGGCAGTCTCTAGGATGGTGAAGTACATTTTGATAGTTTTGAATTTTTATTCCACTAGTACAGTTGAACGTTATTTCTCTATGTAAATTTCTGTCTATACACTTGAGCAGATTGATTTTTTTGGGTAAAATTCAAACTTAGATCTGTGAGTGCAGAATGCTTCAGAGTGGTGGGAAGTACTATTTCATTTCTCCTTTCCCAATTATTTTATCCCATGGATCATCTACGAAAGGGGTAAGGCTCTCATTCTTCTAGGATGTTGCTCTGAGCATCTTCTTTTCATGACAATTATGCCCTGTTTCTGAGGAATGGAGAGAACTGACTTCTTTGTCTCCCTCTGATCATCTGTTTTCAATTACCTTCACTGAATAACCTCTAATAAAAGTTGTGGTTATCTTCTCAACCCTCCTCCAGACTCTTAATTACATTTATTCCAAGTACAGCACTTACACACTGTTTTAGGTGCCTAATGGGGGCAGCTAATATGCTGGTGAGGGAAGGAGGCAGAACTGCACAGATTTCAGAAAACCCAACTCTAGACTCAGAACAATTGAAACTATGTTTAACTTGCCTACAACTAAAGGGCTTGTTGCATAGCTATGCCAGCAAGCTTTTGCACCTAAAAACCATGTTTTGGCATGCCTTCTTTGGTATCATTATTGTCGAATAAAAACCAAATCTGGACTTAGTAAGGAGAGGCTTTATTAAGCAAGATTATTACAGAAGGAGAAAGGAATGATTACAATAGATGAGTTGAGGGGAGGTGGACTATTGCAATTGGAAGAATGTTCTGACTATAAATAAGAATAGCAAGTGTCTCAAGGGTTGAGAAAAAAAAAGTTTTTTTTTTTTTTTTAAATAGAAGAGTGAATAAAGCTGGAAAGAACTGGGTGTGGGGAAGTGAGATGAAAGGGTGAAATCAGATAGGAGATCAGAGAATGTTTTACACTAGAGCAAACAAACCTTTTCTCCTGGAGGAGCTCTTAAGGGGAGGAGCTGTATACTGGCTCAGGATGGATGGGGCCAATGTTCAGGTACATTAGCAAAGGAGAAGCTTAACCAAAGTTTGGTTAAGAATTTTGTTCCCATTGATCAGTGGAGACAAGCAATTCACCTAGTAATTTATGAAGCAAAAAATGGGAACTTGGAGGTTATGTCTAGCCTTTTAATCGGTCAAAAAGTGGGTATCCATGTGCCTTATCTACATCATATGGGGAAGGGTGATTCCTTGTAATAAGCTATCTTCTGGAATATAAAGGGTGAAGGGTATTTTGGTTCTCTAGTGCTACTATAACAGACATACCACAAATGGATGATTTTAACAAACGGGTTTATTCTCTTACAGTTTAGGAGGCTAGAAGTCTGATTTAAAAGTGCCAGCTCTAGGGGCTGGGTGAAGGCCCCTTGACCTTGGGCTTCAGCTCTGCCTCTTGCTCTCGGCCCATTGGAGCTTAGTCTCTTAACTCAGACACTTGCTGGCTGCTGAGGCTGACTAACCCAAGGTTGGCAAGTAAAATGGCACAGTCCCCAAATTATCAAGCAACATAGCAGGCCACTAGTTCAAGTCCAGAAACAGTCCCAAGATCAGCAGACAACATGGCAGGCCACAGATATGAAGACTCAGCTAAATGCAGGATCTAAATGTGTCAAAAAATTAGAGAACTTTCTCAAAGCTTCTTATATGCTGGAAACAGACTATATTCTTAAGGCAGCTTTCAGCTGCTCACAGCTGAAGTTGATTACCAGTCTTATCATGGGGAATACTATATCTAACTGCCCAGCCACAAAAAACCAGGCCCAGGTTGACACATAACCTTAACTACCACAGAGGGATTTCTTTCTTGCTTTTTTTTTTTTTTAAATACATTTCATTGAAATATAATATATATACAGTGAAATACACAAAACTAAAGTGATATGAGTTAATGCGTTCTTTTTTTTTCAGTGTTCCCTCCTTCTCCTCCCCCCCACCCCTGGTAACCAACAAAGGTCCATATATGAACCTTTCCTTGACTTTTTTTTAAATTATTTTTTTTTCAGTGTTCCCTCCTTCTCCTCCCCCCCACCCCTGGTAACCAACAAAGGTCCATATATGAACCTTTCCTTGACTTTTTTTTTAATTATTTTTTTATTATGATTTGGGTGAAAGTTTACAGAGAAAATTCACTTTCCATACAGCAGTTCACATACACTTTGTCTCATGACAATTCACCACAGTGCAAGAGCTCCCCTCCCACTTCCTCCACATAGTTACCTCTTCTCTGTGTCCACCTCTCCATGCCCTCCTGACCCTGAGCTGTCTCCCTCTGCATACACGGCCCTTCTCTTCTCCCATGATTGTTCTCTCCAAGGAGTGTATCTACCTAGTGTAAATGTTCACCTCATATGCCTGTCTTTTGTTTGGCTGGAAGCCACAGGAGTGGGTTCAATTCCAGACTTGAAGGGCACCTTGGGGCCATGGTCTCAGTGGTTCTATCAGGCTTTATCAGACCAGCAAACCTGGTGCCAAAGGGACAAGGAGGCTGCATCTTCTGACCTTCTCTATCCCCACAAGAGGAAGACAGAATCACCATCAATAGCCCAAGGCCTATCCCTTCAAGGCCAGACATACCATCCCTCTCCAGCCCTTTTATCAACCCTGATACCAACCATTCCTCCCACAGCACCCACCACCTCTCTGCTGGGTTCGATAATTTGCTGCAGTGGCCATGCAGAACTTACAGATTATGGGGTTTATTAGGGAAGTAGCAGGCTACATTTCAAGTTCCAGAACACTTTCAGTCCCTCTCAGCCCGGTGTCTCTCAGCCAACAGTCTCTCTCCCAGCGTGCGTGTCTCTCAGTGTCTCTTTCCCAGCAGTGCATGTCTCTCACGTCTCTTTCTCAGCAATGCATGTCCCTCATGTCTCTCTCTCAGCAAGTGTGTGTCTCTCAGGAGCACATTTCTCTCAGCAGCATGTCTTTGTCAGCCAGCAGTTAGAAAGACTCCTTCTGTCTCTAGGAGGGCTCCTTTTGAGCCCTAGCAGAGTGACCCAAACTAACCAATCCCAACATCAGAATTCTATACACCTGAGAGAGACTGAACTTCCCAGAAGATTGCTTTGTGTCACTCTCAACAGAAGTACCCCAGGTGGATAACTTTAACAATCAGGAGCTGCTCAGTTGCTCATAGCAAATTCCACCACAGAGTTTACAAAGACTTATGATTAGAAAATCCACACTATGTGATTTGCTGCACTGCACCTGTTCTCTTTCTTTCTTTCTTTTTTTTTTTTTCAAATGATTTTGAGTTTTGTTCCACATTGTTCTCCCACTCTATCCAGGATCTCCTACATAGATCCCCCTCTGAGTAGTTGACAGTGGTAGCTGGGCACTATCTAGTTTTTCTGGTCTCATAGTCATATAGGCTGAGGATTGCATGGTGTACCAGTTGCCAGGACTAATTGTTTCCATGAATCTCTGGTTTTCTTCATTCTTCTTTGCTCTGGGTGAGGAGAGACCCATAATTACATCTAGATGGCCACTTGCAAACTTTTAAGATCCCAGTCACTGCTCACCAAAATAGGATGTGGAACAATGTTTTGGGTAGTATGTTATGCTGATTGAGCTTGGTATCCCCTGTGACTTCAGTCCCAAGCCCACAGGTCCAACTACTCACTCCCTCTGGGTAGCTGGCTTTGGCCAAGAAGTAACTACAACTTTGTCCCTTGTCAACTCTACTATATACCTAGGAATTCTTATAGAACATACCAATACAACTGTAGAAACATTGTCTGCCAACCCTATACATGGTCTTGGGCACAATCCCTCCTACACAGACATACCTAAAAGTTCAGCCTGCCCACCCATATATCCACCCATATATCCATGTTTGCCATCACTGACAATGCAGTACTATATGTGCAAAAGGGTTCATCTTTTTGCACATGTACCTCCCACATACCTCTATGTGATTTCCTATTCCTCCATGCCACTGTGTTGATCACTCACATTTGGTACATTGCCCTTCTTTTCACCCAAATCAATACTTGTCTCTACCTATCTAATAGTGTTCCCTCCCCTCCCACCCCTGGTACCAACAAAGAAAATTTCCTTCCATATATAAAACTTTCCTTGACTTTTCACAATAATAAACTAATACTATATTTGCCCTTCTATGATTGACTTATTTAGCTCAGCATAATGTCCTCCAAGTTCATCCATGTTATGTGGTGTTTTGTAGATTC